ATCTGTTTTTTCATTTGCCTTGTGCATAAGATTTTCTCAGCTGCTATGAGCAAACTATCTTATCGTATGATGCAGGGACACCAGGTCGAAGGGTCCAGCTTCCATACTCTGATCTCTCATTGCCCTGCACTAAATATCAGCCATTTCAACATGCGCAAACTAAATTGGGAGCTCGGCGACTACGTTCTGGCGCACTGATATGTGCTGCAGCCTTGGTGTGTTACTTATAACCGTCATGAAATTATACTTGTGCATGATAAGGTTTCATAAATTAATGCCGTTAGTATGTGATTATTGGCTCTAAGGCTGTGATGTTGACTTATTCAACTGTCCACCTTGGTCATTCATTATTTGTGCATCTTGAAGTGTTGATTTGACTATTTTTATTGCATATCTCAAACTTTGAGGAGCTAATATTCTGGTTGATAACAAGATCAAGACAGGGATGCATGTTGCTAGTTGGGTCATGATTGAAATTATGCAGCAAAATAGATGGATTTTCATCGAGTTCTTTTAAGCAACACTACTAAAGAATAGCTGGTTGGTCCTTACTTGGAGTGCTTGAATGCTACTGGCATAGTTACTTGGAGTGCTTGAATTTTTCTGACGGCATGAAATTAACAGTGGTGTGCCGAGAGAAATATGCATGATTACGTTTCCTGTTTTTGGTACCATTGTTATTGAGGTATCAGTAGAGTATGTGGCGTATTATTTTTTACTCTGGAGGATTCCAAAGATTCATTTCCAAGGGTTTTCATCTGAAAATTATAAAAAGAAAAAATAATAATTAAGTTGACTAAAATGAATCTGTTCTCGGACTATTTTGTGATCTTGGATGAATTTTTCTTGTGTTGAAAGTGGGTAGGCTTGCTGATATTATCAGTGAGCCACATGAAAGCTAGCCTTGATGATATTGCTGTATTGACATCATATTTGTTCTTCTCATTATTATAATTCATTTCTGTTTGTAATTCTTGGTTGTTTCCTGATTGGTTTCCCCGCCTATTGCATTGTATCTTACATGGTTATCTATTAGTTCAACGCGAAAACTTACTGCCTTGTTTTCTCCTGCAGAGCGCAAGATGTGCAGCGGAGCAAACCCAGACAGTCACACGCCAATCATCTACGATAACAATTGCTCCCATCCAAGGTGAGGAACATATATGTGGGTGATACTGATTGCTCTTCCCAAGGCTAAAATTGTTGAACGATGACCAGATGAAATAACTCCCTCTTTTTTACTTCCAAATTCCAATATTTAACAAGTAATTGTCATCTTATTTTCAGGGAAGGAGAAATCACCAGAGCTTGACGATGGAGGGACAGGATTTCCCCCACGGGATGATGATGATGGTGGTGGCGGAGGTGGTGGAGGAGGGGGGCACTGGTCAGGTGGTTTCTTCTTCTTTGGTTTGCTTGCCTTTTTAGGTCTTATGAAGGATCAAGAAAGCGAGGGGCCCTATCAGAATAACAAACGAAGATATTGATTCTCTCCCAGTTTGGTCTATTGATGTAATCCAACACGTTGAGGATGAAGATTGTCGGTGAAAAATTCATCATCACTCGAGCTGTTAATGTCAAGCTTGACCATTAAACCAGCTCTATATGAATGAACATGAATAGGTTGAAGTTATAATCCAATTTGAGCTTAATCTGCTATGAACCAACCAATTTGAGCTTAATTCCGCTGGCACACGATGGAGTGTTGGGATTGTATCGTCATTAATCAGGTGCATCATTCTTCCCAAATTTTATTTAATGTTCTACTTTAAAACATGTTCACGACATGTCTCAAATATTTTATTTGAGTTTGGTGCTGAGGTTAACAAATAAAACATGTTCACGACATCTGCCTCAAATATGTAAATCTTACTGAGTGCCCAAAAGATTAGTTACTTTGACATGTACTCTTTACGAAAGAACCACTTGGAAGCCATCAAACTGAGATCCTAACAGCAGCAAATATATACAAAGCAGCAGCAAATCACTCTCCTCAAATATGTAATGCCTCTCAGCTTGCTAGTAAGTCCTGAAACAACAGGGAAATTGCACGGCACAGACTTAAGATCACCAAACGTTTGCCTTGATGGCTACGTAGCATAGCCATTAGTCTAGCTGAGAGTGATGGAGATAGTGTTGTCTGTGCCTCGCATATCTTGTACTTGAGTTCAGAAGGCTCCGATGGATAGGTTGCACTGTCTCCGAAGAAGAGAAAGTTGTTAGCATGCAAATAAAGTGGGGTTCATGTCGAAGCACTCTGAGCTTACCACTTAAGTTCAGACATATCCATGCTCAATGTCACTTTCTGGCCGTTTTTGAAATTCATAAAACAGAGCTGCAACTCAAGTTGGCCTGCTGAAAGATATGCAAAGGGATTGATTTCAAAATCATGCTAGAACTATAGCTAAATGCTGATCATGCATGTGTGTTGTTAAAACCAGGAAACTAAAACTAAATCTGATTTAAAATATTCTGCAGCTCAGATCAATTATATGCGCCTGAAGTTCTAACTAAAATGGTATCTGAAAATAGCATTTCAAAGAAAAGCAATGGCCTGCTTGATGATTTGTTATCAAGTAGTTCAAAATGATTGAAAACTCCACAATGAGAACCTAATTATATGCCTGATGTTTGTACTTATTCAATCAAATAAACAAATAAAGAGAGTGCAAACCCCTAACGAATCAAAGTGTAGGAAACAATATATTAAAGAAATTCACAAGTAATGGATGAATGAATCAAAAGGGATAAAACAAGCAGGGATGTCTTACTGGGTGTATGGCTGAAGGTTGAGAATGTTAGATTCAGATTTTCCATCCTTGCAACTTGTACTTCCGCAAGCACATCAAGTAGGATCCCCATAAGCAAACTGGTTTCCTGCATGATCAGCAAGCAAAATATGCGAATGTGTTTGCTAAAGAACCTTAACCAAGCAAAGTAATGTGTCAGCAGCGCACTATTGCAACACTCTCCATCCAAAAGAACAGTTTGAACATGAAAGGAAACATTATAAAAACTAAAAACAAAGAAAGGGCAAAAGATCAAGATAGAGTTGATTCTTGCTGCCTACTCTGGCTAGATGGAATGCACCTCACAAAAAATTTGTGAGACTTCAGCACTTTCAATTTTACACACAAAACCATGCAGGGTAATCACTAATAATTCCCCAAAATACGTCCCAAACTACCCTGTAAAAAAAATATACTATTTAGCATACACCTAGTTTTTGATCTACAACAGTATACCGATGCACATCGATCCAAAAGTGTTAAGATTCCGACCAAAATTAGGGGCAAAATGTAAAGAAACCAAACTCTCAAAGTTGAAAATAAAAATGTCAATTTTTTTTTACAACAAAACTATCCAAACAGGAACCTGGATCACTAATAATGAGAAGTAATACGTTATAATAACTCAATTAGTAAAACCAACTTACCAGTGTCTTTTGTTGAAAACATTTAGAACTGATGACTCTGCTATCACCCTTGTCACCAAAAACAAATTCAAAAACCACATGTTCATTCATGTTGTGAAAAGTCTGCAGAATATCAACATGACGCTAGGAGGTTAGTTTCATAATATCATTGCAACTATACAATAAAATATAAATCAAAGATCAACAACAAAAAAAAAGGTTTGCACCACAAAGAAGATATTCATTACCTTCCCAATGTTTTCTGCATGCAATGAGTTATTGACAAGTATACTTGAGACTTGACAGGAATCAATAGTAAACCTGTTACATCAAACTTAGGTTACAAGAAAATATGGTAGTAAGTTCTTTACATAAGAAAGAATTAATAAGTGGAACTTATATACCTTTGAAAGAGGAAATTGCAATAATTAAGCACAATATCATGTTTATTATCCCTTTTCATTGTGTTGCTTAATTCCCAAAGCTACAACCATAAAAAGGAAGCCTTTGTCATTACATAATCGGTTATAGCTTATATAATTCAGATCAGACGACTAATCATGTCATACCCGTGACTGTTGATGAATGATATTAATACGGTTCCGCATTTCTAAACGTTCATTGGCAACTTTAGTAATTCCATCGGTGCTCATATTTCCTTTTATCTTGCAACAAACTCCAAGCGACTTCAACAAGTGATCCTCCTTCTGTTCCAGCATTTTTAGCTCATGTCTCCTTGATGCCATCCTTTCATCTGTTTCCTGAAAAAGCAGAATCCAACAGCAACTTAACAATATTGTATGTGAAATAAATATAAATCTATAAGCAAAGAAAACCTTCTGCCTAATTATCCTTCAATAAGGTTTCTTCGATAAGGTTTGATGGCATCAATTAAACAATACAGGTAACTCATTATATACAGACCATAAATGAAGAAATAAGCTGCCAATGTTAAAACAGATCATTCAACAATCCTAGGCAATCTACAAGAATATAAGATTTTTCAAGAAAAGAGCATTATTAAAAGTTTGAGAACATCTTTTGAGCATGTCGATGTACTTATATATAAGTAATCTTTCAATATATAAGGTTATGCAGCAAAGATGACAATAAGGATTTTGTTTTAAAGTATAAGGGTAATTGGATAATAGTTAAACAATATAAAGGAATTGAGTTTTCTTTTAAAGAAAAACTTCCCAAAGCTCACCGAGAGATCCGAAACATACACTCTGCATCCAAACTAAGACACAGAATGACAACCAACTTGACAGCCCTTTACAAGGGAGCTCCAAACTCGCAGAATGTCGAAAGAGACAGATAAGATATTTGAGTAAAATTAAAATATTATAACCACAAACTGGTATCAATATAGCACATATGTAGTCTCGAAGAAAACAGTATCTGGTGCATGAGCATTACTAGATCGGGTTGGATTAATTAGGAACAGATTCAGATCAGGGACAGATTAGTTCTCAACAAACCCATATATGGGTTAGTTTGGATTTTCCAAACCCTTACCCAATTCAACACATTGATCAGGATGGGCTAAGCAGATGTTGGTTGCATCCAACCCAAGTTACAGCTTATACCCAGCTTAAATGGGAATGGAGTGAACTTTTGAAAATGAGGAGCTCAGATACGGTCAGTCCCAGCAGCAAATTCAAAACAAGCGATGATAGCATACATATAACCATGCTAACCAAAGGAAAAGCATGTGATGGAGTTTGTGGAATAACAAAAATTCAACTCTCCAATTGTAAATATTGAGGCATAATAAACATAAGCAATAAATTGATGGAAACACCATATTCGTGCAGTATTTTGATTTCAAAGGAGTAATGGAGAATTGGACATGTCCATAAGCTTATGGGTGATTCACAAAAATTTAAAATGAAAAACTTAATGCAATAGTGTGGTCACTTTTAAGGTACAAGGGCAAACATTCTCCTAGATGACTACATGGCCACCACAATTGCAGCAGCTTCCAACAAACTTGTCTAATAGACAAGATGAGTCAAGATTAGTGATTCAAGGAGAAAACATAGAGAAAAATTATAAAAGGACTATATTAAAAACAATAAAAAAATATTTGAATGCTATTGAATTAATTAGAAAAATTGCTTTGTAAAATGCTCAATGACAACAAAAAATCTATGTGATCAACCCCAAATACTCAGGATATCATGACAACAACCTATACATGTGAATAGACAAGATGAGTCAAGATTAGTGATTCGAGGATAAAACATTGAGAAAAATTCTAAAACGACTATATTAAAAACAATAAAAAAATATTTGAATGCTATTGATTTAATTAGAAATTTTGCTTTATATAATGCTCAATGACAACAAAAGATCTATGTGATCAACCCCAAATAGTCGGGATATCATGGCTTGCAAGTGTTGTTATTGCTGTTATAGTTGTTCTTGTTCTTGGTTCTGTTTTGCAGCTGTCAACACTTAATACAATCATACAAGTGCTCAGGTCACTGAAACGTGGAAGGAGATGCCATCAAAGCAAGTTAGATTTATGCTTTGCATAAGTCAAAACATAATTGAGATCTCATTACCTTCTTCAGTATCATGCCATCACCATATCAGAGGCTCCATCAAAGAGAATGAAAAGCATGTAACAGAGAACAGAGATTTGATATGCACATAATTTTCGTAGTATGTAATTAGAAATTTAATAATAGCACATTTCAATATATCGTTACTTCTTACAAGGTTTTTAAGAACATCTTGCACTTGTAAATTTAATGGAAAGTTATATGCAAGACTATAAGTTGATCGCTCCCTTTAAGGCCTGAATCCGTGCCCCAAAAAAGATCAACAGAAAATAATGGATAACCTCAGATGAATACATATAAAAAGCAATGAAAAGTTCTCTACCAGAAATAAGCAAAATGTAAAGCCTCCTTACAGTGCATAGCCTAATTAATCTTAACAGTGACAAGCAAATGTCTAGTGTTTAACATATTAGGAATATACTGCAGCTTAGAGAGCACAAAAACACCTTATTTCGGCAACTAGTAATAGATGAAACAGAGTGAACTTGATTCTCCTTATTCTGTACACCTCTTGTATTCTGAAGACAGAGCTGTGAAAACATTGATTTAAGACTATTACATTCCTTAAGTCCCGACTGAATTGAGTGAGCTTTACCCTGCAACAAAATGCTAATTTAGGAGCTACATCAACTTAACTGCAGTAATAGGCCGAATTAATAAACAAGGTCTCACACGTAGTTGATCCAACTTGGCACGCTTTATCTGCATTTTGGCTTGTTCATATAAAAACTTATCTTGCAAAAACCATGCTTCAGTAACTCTGCAAAGTCAAATTAATTAATCAGCCTATAAATTGACATATAACATGGGGATGCAAGACAAATACCCTCTTCAAATAACTAAAAGATTACCTCTGTCGGTGCAAGTCATCCAAGTGATCATTGTTCCTCTGCAATAACAACAGATTAGTTCTTTCATTCGTACAAAAGAACTAGCTTTATAAATGTTATTTGTGGATGTATTGGAACAAAAATGTCAAAAATTGCAAAAGTATGTTTTTTGCAGATAAATTTAAAAATAATCAATATATGAGCTTATTATTCACAAGCATACCAAAGAAGAAGAAATCTTCAGATATTTTCTAGCCACTTGCAGCTCACCCAACATATCCTCCAAGATGTCCAGCTTCATAGCAAGATAAAAGAAATGCATAAATTGTAATCATCTTCGTGGGTGTTCTTGGTAACAAAAAGACACAAAAATCAATTAGAATGCTATACACTATCCAAGAAATAATGACCAGAAAGAAACAGCCAACAAACACAGTATACAACACAAGTTTTATGTACAGATCTTGCTCTCTCATACTTTCCGTTCACCAGAAAGCTCCATCACAATGAACTTCAAATCCTTCCAAACTATCCACATATGTTTACTACTATACACCCTCAAATCCCTCAGACCCAAAACTAAAATATATGACTTCAGGGTAAAAAGTTTGAGACAAACCCTAAACTAGCATTAAGTAAATCCAAATCTCTGGCCTAAATTTCATAAACAAGTCCTTTAGAAACCATGTGCTCTTATATAAGTTGTATGCATTATTTCATGAAAATTTTTGAGGGGAAAAACATAAATTTCCATAAGCAAAATAATGATTGGCAATTTGCTTAATCTACTGATATTGCATACTTGATGCAACTGCAAAAGAATGGAAAGAGTTTACCTCTTGCAAAGCAAGTTTATGAATAATTGGAGAAAATACTAATTTTTTGGCATCAGACACTTTAGAGAATATCTGCAAGATGAATATAAGAAATAATAAAAATTGATAGTTCTGGTTTTCATTATAAAAAGTCCTAAAAGAATGTTGTAAAAAGCAAGAGAACATGAACGAAGTTTCAAGAAAAGAAATATATACATACATCGGACCAGTGCACTGCTGTTCGCTGGCCACCAGTTTCAAGGGATTGATCGATAATTTCTGAAGGATGAGCTAAATGTATCATAGGTTTAGTTGCCACTGGTTCACTTGAAAAGATAGGACTCTTTTCTGTCCTGCTAATTTTACTGATGTGGCTTTCATCCATGACAAGAGACTGTTCAATTCTCCTTTTCTTTCCAACTAAATCACCTTCAGCTGGCAATGAATCTTGAACAAAAGAGTGATCCAGATGATCCACCTCAGAGGAAGTATTTAGAGGCTGACAGCTTTCCTTGAACTTGATTTTCTCTCTTTGTGAAACATCATGGGCATCAGGGTCAGAGGCCTTTTTGGCAAGGTCATTAGAAATTAATGAACTTTGCAGCATGTTAGTTTCTGACCCAGACAAATGGAAGGAAAGGTCACTTAGAGTCACAGCATCATCTGCCTTTCTTGGTGTTGACTCTCTAGCATCATCTAGGCCTGCAAACCCTAAATGTTTTGCATCAACATTGTGTGCCTTAGCTCTGGTCTTTTGAACAGAATTTAGAAGACTGTCTTCCATGTTAATAACAGGGTCACTGCAGCATTTTACTACTGAAATATCAGCTTCCTTTTTAAACATGCCTTCAAGGTCCAGGGGCACATGACCCTTCCGTGACACTCCTAATTGGAAATTATCAAGATCTGGTGCTTCAAGAGTTCTGAATTTTGAAATGTGATTCTTAATAGCTGAAATTCTCTCACCATGTCTTGTGAGTTCTGACTCCAAGGAGGAAGGAGGTTGTT